TAAAAATGAATACATACAAAACTCTTCCTCTAAAATGAAAAATAGTCTTGGTCAATAAAATTTTATTGATATGGCTATCACCTAGAACTCTACCTGACACAAAGTAGGGGTTCACTAAATGATGGTTAAAATTGCATATATGTCAGTGATTGACTCAGATAGGGTATGGGAGGGAATCGAATCTGAAAGCAAGGGAGGCGAGCAACAGACTTTATCTGTAGAGTCCTACTGCTGTTAGAGAGAGCTACTGGGAGCAAACATGACAATCCAGTCTGAGTGACAGAGTGAGACTCCAACTCAAAAATAAATAAATAAATAAATAAAATAAAAAAATTAAAAGAGAAAAACAAAAACAAAAAAACCATGTCTACAAAAAAAATAACAAAATTAGCCAGGCATGTGCTGGTAGTTCCAGGTATTCAGGAGGCTGAGGCTGGTGAATTGTCTGAGCCCAAGAGATTGAGGCTGCAGTGAGCAATGATTGTGCCACTGCACTCCAGCCTGGGCCACAGATGAGACCCTGATCTAAATAATAATAATAATTTGCATCCTGGTGAAATCTGAGGGAGACAACATAAAGCAGGGCAGGTGATCGCCCTGCCGAGACAACCATGCAGGAGTTTTTGTCTCAAGGACGATACTCTTCTAGGGCAGTGGTTCTCAACTGCCCAGCACGGGACACCTGCATTATCTGAAGACATTTATGGCTGTCACAACCTAGGGGGTGCTACTGGCATCTAGGGGGCAAAAGCCAGGAATGCTGTGACACATCTTCCCATGCACAGGACAGCCCCACAAGAAAGGGCGACCCAGCCCAGACATCAAGGCCAAGGTTGAGAAACCATTTCAGAGCAACCTGTGGGGCCTTGTTCCCCTCCTCCAGCTGGCTCTGGCAGCTGGGCTGGAAGGCTGTGGCAAAGGTGCTGGGATGGGATGTGCCTATACTAGAGGGAGGGGACATGAGGTAGGGACAGAGAAGGTGGCCAACTGTCTCCTAAGGTCCTTTACAAGTCAGGCTGTGTTGCTATCCTGCTCAAAACCTTGCAATGGCTTGTTGCTCCTATTGCAAAATACAGACTCCTTCTGGGGCCTGCAGGGCCTCCCCTGGCTAACCTTCCAGCCCACTCACTGCGCTTCCCCAACTCACTCTTCTACAGCCACATTAGTCAACTTTCTTTCTTTCTTTTTTTTTTTAAAGACAGGGTCTTGCTATGTTGCCCAGGCTGAACTTGAACTCAAGTGATCCTCCCACCTCAGCCTCCCGAGTAAAACTTTCCTTTTCTCAAACAGACAGAGCCTTTGCAGTTCCTGTTCCCTATACTTGGAATGTTCTCCCTTGGCTCTCCACAAGGCTGGCTCCTCCTCATCTTCCATGTTTCCTCAGAGGGGCCTCCCCAGGCCATTGTCAGAAGTGACCGTACCCTCCCCCACATCAACCTGTCCTCTGTCACTCCTTGTTCTTCCATAGGGCTAGCTGCTAGGATGTAAGCCACAAGGACAGGCTTTCTGCTGGTTTTGTTCACTGGATCCCAGTTGCTGAGAATGGTACCTGGTGCACTCTAAGCTCAATAAGCATTTTCCCTGTAATTTTTTTTTTTTTGAGTTGGAGTCTCACTCTGTCACCCGGACTGGAGTGCAATGGCCGCTCCCGGCCACTGCAGCCCCGACCCGCTGGGCTCTGGCGATCCTTTCACCTCAGCCTTCCAAGTAGCTGGAACTATAGGTGCGCACTACCACGCCCAGCTAATTTTTTGATTTATTGTAGAGATGAGGTCTCGCCAAGTTGCCCAGGCGGGTCTCGAACCCGTGGGCTCAGGCAATTCACTCATCTCAGCCTCCCAAGGCGCGGGATTACAGGCTGAGCCACTGAGCTCGGCCATCTTTTTTTTTTTTTTTTTTTGAGTTGGAGTCTCACTCAGTCACCCAGGCTGGAGTGCAGCGGCATGTTCCCTGTAATCTTACATGGAAGTTTTTTTTTTTTCCTATTGTATTGCCTTCCTCTCCAGCTAGAACACAAGCTCTTTGAAGGTGGGGACCTTGGCTGTCTGGTTCACTATTACATTCAGAGCACATGGAACAACGGATGGCACATGGCAGAGGCTGAATAAATCAATAAGTTCTTGAATCCTTGGGAGCACCATCTCCACCTTCCCCACCATGCTGCTCTTCCTGCCCGGGGCTGAGGAGTGCCAAATTGTCATGCTCTAGGAGAAGCAATGTCCCTGGAACCAGTGGACACAGTGCAGCAGTTAAGAGCATGACTTGGCATTAAACACCATCTCCATAAATACCAGCTGTGTGAAATCAGCAAGTTGCTTCACTACTCTGAGCCTGTGTCCTCATCTATTAATGAGGATAATAGTAGAATATACTTGACAGGATTATTGGGAGAATTCAGTGAGATCAAGTTTGAACCTAGCATCAGAGGTTAGTGAACACTGGCCAGTGCTATCATTTGGAGTGATGTTCCCAGTCCATTTATTTGCCTGTCCCATAGCAAATGACAAAGCTGGCCAGATACAGTGGCTTACATCTATAATCCCAGCACTTTTGAGAGGACCACTAGAGCCTAGGAATATGAGATCAGTCTGGGCATAGTGAGACCTCGTTTCTACAAAAAAATAAAAAATTAGTTGGGTGGGGTAGTGTACACTGATAGTCCCAGCTACTTGGGAGGCTGAGGTGGGAGGATCATCTGAGTCTAGGAGGTCAAGGCTGTAGTAAGCCATGATTGTGCCACTGTACTCTAGCCTGAGCAACAGACTGAGACCCCGACTCAAAAAGAAAGAAAAAGGCCGGGCTCAGTGGCTCAGCCTGTAATCCCACGCCTTTGGGAGGCTGAGGTGAGTGGATTGCCTGAGCCCACGGGTTCGAGACCCGCCTGGGCAGCGAGACCTCATCTCTACAATAAATAAAAAAATCAGCCGAGTGTGGTAGCGCATGCTTATAATTCCGGCTACTCGGAAGGCTGAGGCGGAAGGATCGCCGGACCCCAGCAGGCGAGGCTGCGGTGGCCGGGAGTGGCCACTGCACTCCAGTCTGGGTGATCGAGTGAGGCTCCAACTAAAAAAAAAAAAGAAAAAGAAAAAGAAAATGACAAAGCCTTGGCATGAGACTGAAAAGCACTCCTGCCCATGCTGGAAGCATAGGCCTCTTCCTTCCCTGGATATCATTCCTATGCCATTCCTCTGCCCTTCCTGGTGACTGCCAGATGCTTAGAAGATGGAAACTCACGTTCATATCCAGGAAACGGAGATACTCGCGGCCCAGGGAGCCTTCCGGCAGGCTCTGAAGCCTGCCCAGGTCGAGGGTAGCCAGTGAAATCCGGGGACGCTCCCTGAAAGGCAAGACTTGAGTATTGGGAGGGTGTCAGTAAAGAAAGGTGAAAGGTCCAGCTAGAGGAAGCTTGAGGAGCCAAACGCAGCAATATGGCCACGAGCCCTAATAGGCAGGCCAGAGTCAGGGACTGAAGAGGCTACCCCAAACCGAGGACATGGGTCCTGCCTGCAAGGGCTAATCTAGGCAGGAAGGCAAGTCTCACATGTGATCAGGATACTTATAAGGGGAGGGGTACAGCTAGCATGTGTTATAGGAGCTTAATGAAGGCACAGAGCCCTGGGGCAGAAACTGGGCTGAGGCCACCACATTGCACTGCATACATTTATGTGAATGGCACTCTTGGAGTTTGCCAGTGTCCAGCCTGTGCAACCATCCATGACCAGGGTATCAAGAAGAGCTTCAGATTTTGACTGTAGAGAGGCCAGAATCCCTAGAGAATGCCTTCAACCCCCTGTGCAGAGCTGATACCTACTCCAGGATCTGGGAACCCTCTGGATCACTCTTCATCTGGTCCCTGAGGACCTTAAGAGTACGGCGTCCTGTGGTCTCCCCTAGAACTGCAACCATGTCTGAATGGACAGAAATGGGTACAAATGGGGGACGTGATCTTAGGTAAGTGGCCTGACCTGATCTGAGCCTTACTTTCTACAGAATAAAACAGGAATAATACCATATCTAGTTATAAAGATCCCTGTTAAACACTTTGCAAGTCACTCAGCCACAGCAAAGACTCCATATATATATTAAGAAATATGTATACAGCCGGGCTTGGTGGCTCAGCCTGTAATCCCAGTGCTTTGGGAGGCCGAGGTGAGTGGAT